TATACCCAAGTACTTAAAAAAATATCTCTCAATGACCCTGAAACTGCAACTGTTTTCTAAACAACTGCCGCTTTCATGACGCTATTCTCGAAATGTTATCTTTTTTTGATTCATAAAAGAATCGAACTAAAAATGTAAAATATATGTAAATTAGAATAAAAAAAGCAATCATAGGCTATGTTATTTATCCTAAAACACATACCTTAAAGAGGTAAACCAACTGCACATTATCAAAACAAAATAAAATCAACACATTTTTTGTAGCAAATGGAAATCCTAATAATATTTGGCAAATAAAAATACCTATTTATATGTGAATGAGACTAATAGCAGTATGTATGTATTTTTTTCAATATGCATTTTTTATAATTATGATAATAAGAAAAAATGGGGTAAAATATTTTACTATGCCTAGTAACATTTTCATTATACTGGCGTCTGTCAAATTTATTATTTATTATTTTGTTGTGATGAATTTTTTTTACAAAAATATGAGATGCTAGGCAGTACTTAACCGTAAAATGAGATTTTTACATTTTTTTCGTGATTATGTGATGACTTGTGACACCCTTTCATAGTACGTCATTTTTTTGAATAGTTGTGCGAGCTCTTTACACGACTACGTGGACTCGAGTACTAACGCGCCAAAAGTCGTACTTAACCTTTAAAGGCTAACTTAAAATGGCTTCACTTTGCGTGCGCCTAATACTTCTATGGTTGAAAGCATATAACCGCCGAGTAACAAAATTCATATTATTCTATATAATATATTTATATTACAAGTTTCAAATAGATCTAATAATATATAACAAAGCTGTCCATTTTTTACTACTGTACAAGTGCTGTGACATCGTATATTTTGTATTTAATAAAATCAGTATTAGAAGGTATAAAAATATTTATAAAGTTACATAGAATTAACTGACCTTTTTGCTGGTTGTTTTAGCAACTTACTTTTTTTCCATGTATATGTGTACATGTGTATACAGAAGTATATATACATAAATATACTTCATTTGCAAGATAAAACCGTTTTATACGTCTGTTTCTCTAACGGTTATGTCGATATGTAGTGCGTGTGTTTATATATATTGGGGGTCATTGTAGAAGCGTGCTCGTCGCGACCCCTGCCAGCCCTTTTCAGGGCTGCAATTCTACTAGCTGCGCACCCATGCCAACGAGGGTTAGGGCGTCCCCCCAAGGCAACGCACACCAGCTCGTCCCCGTTGGTGTGGAATGCAGCGCGCAAAGCGGCGATGGGGACCGCCACCCGTCACGCACAGCCCGACACGGCGGAAGGTGGAGGACAGAGTGCAGAGTTGGCACGTGGAATGTTAGAGGAGGCATGAGAGATAAGACGAATGAGTTGATCAAAATAATGAAAGAAAGAGAGTTAGATGTCGTGTATATGTCGGCGACCAAGCGGAAGGGCAATGGTACTGAAGAGCTCCCTGGCGGGGCGTTAGCTCTATGGTCCGGAGTCCCGGAGAGTGAGAACGCCTGCCAGGAAGTGGGGGTGCTGCTGTCTTCTCGGTTGGTCGATGTTATGACTGAATATAAGGTTGTGAACTCAAGACTTCTCTGGGTTCGCTTTAAATTGGGACTGACGAAGTTATTCCTTTTGGCTGTTTATGCGCCGGTAGCTTCGTCGTCCAGGGCTGAGCTGGAGGAGTTTTGGGAGAATGTAAGAGAAGTTCTAGATTTGGCTAGAGGAAACGAAAGAATTGTTGTATGTGGTGATTTGAATGGATGGGTTGGTACCGCTCGACCAGGGTACGAGTCGGTACTTGGAAAGTTTGGCGATAAAAGGGTTAATGATGCTGGCAAGCTTATACTGGCGGTGTGCAAGGAAAAGGGTCTTCTTGTGACAAACACTATGTTTAATGACAAGAAAATCCATATGTATACTAGAGAACGAAAGAATTAGAGAAGTATGATCGATTTGTTCCTGGTGGATGACCGACTGCGAAAACAGGTGATGGATACGCGAGTGTTCAGGGGTGCTGACCTGGGAACGGATCACTATCTAGTGATTACTAGATTTAGGGGTCTGTTCGCGGGTTGGCGCTACCGGACGGCAGTAACAGAACCACAGTCGGTCTGTCGCATCCGAAGCTGGAAGCTTCAGGAAGCGGATACTAGGGACAAATATCATGCGAGGGTAGCCGAAAAGCTTGACACCATCGATGGCAGAAATGAATGTGTAGAAAGAACATGGCAGAACCTTAGGGATGGAATGGTAAGTGCAGCGGAAGAAGTGTGTGGAACAATAAAAAGAGGCAGTAGTAAAAGAAGAGATGCATGGTGGAATGATGAAGTGAAAGAAGCTGTAAAGAAGAATAAGAAAGCATGGTTAGACTACTTGGCCTCTAGTAATGATAAGGATATGAGAGAGAAGATGAAAGAAAGATATAGGCTGCAGAAAGTTCACACGAAAGCACTGATTGAGGAAGTGCGTGAAAGGTGTAGAATGGAAGCGGACGAAAGGTTGTCGCACAACTTTAAGGAGAACTCCAAACTCTTCTGGAAAGAGGTTGGAAGGGCCCGAAGTGGTGCGACGGCCTTAAGAATGAACAAAGTGCTTTCGAGAACTAATGACGTCCTATCAGAAAAATCGAACGTCATGCAGCGATGGAGCGAATTTTATAGAGAAATGTATGCGTGTGATGATCTTAGTGAGGGATCCGGGGATGACGCCGTGACTGGTACGCCAGACCCGGACCTCGATGACACTGAGGTCATCAGTATGAAAGAGATTGAACGTGCGATTCGAAGTTTGAAATGTGGTAAGGCTGCGGGACTAGACAGAGTTACTGCTGAAATGGTCAAGTATGGTGGGCCTCGCGTCTGGGACAGCTTTCGTCTGCTGTGCAATTTGTGCTGGCGGACGGGGGATGTCCCGGATGATTGGCGATCCGCAGTCATTGTGCCTTTATATAAAGGTAAAGGTTCACATTTTGACTGCGGGTGCTATCGGGCGATCAGCTTGACCAGTTTAGCAAGTAAAGTTTACTCGAAGGTTTTGACACGTAGGATGCAAGAGAAATCGGAAAGATTTCTATGGGAGGCACAATGCGGATTAAGACCTGGAAGAGGATGCACAGATCAGATGTTTTCTCTCCGCATGATCACGGAAAAGCTTCTGGCTGCTAACCAGAAGATTTTCTGTGCTTTTGTGGATCTTGAGAAAGCATTTGATAAGGTTGTAAGGAAGAAAATGTGGGAACTGTTGCCGGGGTATGGTGTGGATTGTCAATTGCTAAGGGCTGTGCAGTCTCTTTCCTGTGACTGTAAAGCCTGTGTGCGGGTAGGGCATGACCTGTCACCCATGTTTAACGTCCAAACGGGCGTAAAGCAGGGTTGTGTCATGTCTTCCTGGCTGTTCATACTGTATCTCGACAGCTGTTTACAGAAGCTGAAAGATAGTTGTTTGGGTGTGAAATTGGGTGACATTAAAGTAAATTGTCTGCTGTATGCTGATGATGCAGTGCTTATTGCACCATCAGAGGCAGAACTGCAGGCATTAGTCACGTGTATGAAGGAGGAATGTGAAATTAAAGGTCTCCGTTTGAATGCTAATAAAACTAAGTTTCTGGTATTTGAAAGGGACGAAGAGAGAACGAAGTGTGAAATATGGGTAAATCAGGAATGTCTAGAACAGGTAAATGAAATTGTATACTTGGGGAGTGCTTTTAGCCGGGATGGAAGATGTGATTTAGATGTGGACAGGCGTGTCGCTGCCGGGAACAAAGTCAATGGTGCCCTGGCTGCGTTAGTCAAAAGGCAAGGCGTAGCGAAGAGTGCACGCCTTGCAATACATAACGCAGTGTTGGTACCGACTTTGTTATATGGCAGCGAAACCTGGGTATGCCAGAAGAAGCATAAAAGTAAGTTGAATGCAGTGGAGATGCGATCTCTTCGTAAAATGTGCGGCGTTACCATGGCCGACCGAAAGCAAAACGAAGAGATTCGCAATATGGCAGGTTTGAAAGATGACCTTATCACAAAAATTGATAAGGGCGTGCTTCGGTGGTTTGGGCACGTTGAGCGAATGAGTGAAGACCGAATGGTGAAGAAAATATATAGCGCGAAAGTTAATATTAAAAGGTGTCGAGGTAGACCGAGACTAACTTTCGAAGACCATGTGAGCAAATTGCTCGAAGGGGGTAGGGTCAAAAGTACTCGGATACTTAGACGTGCATGCATGAAGAAGATAATGAATCTGAAAGAAGCGAAAGAGGTATGTAAGGATCGTGACACTTGGCGATCTGTTCTCTCTGGCTACCCCGTCAGGGATTGTGCGTGAAGATAAGTAAGTAAGTAAGTAAGTGTGTTTATATATAAAGTACGTTACAGATTTCAAACATATGTAAACATTGAATTTAAAATAAAATGTGTGCATGTGTTTGTGCATGTGTGTATATGCCAGTCAAGCAATTATTACTCAAGAAATTATTTTTTTAATTGAAGCGAGTAAATCTAAAACTTGAATGTCAAATCTACCTACACTACTCTCGGCAGTTTTTAAATAAAATAGTATTAATCAACAAGCACACGTGTTCAGTTTACACCGAACACATTATGTACGCGTAGGCATTTTACTTTAAAGTTTTTATTTAAGTCAGTACATGTACGGACGCCAACATTGTCTCGTGTGTGCTCACATACATAACATTTATAAACATATAACATTTATAAACATTGTAACAATAATATTATAACAATATAATAAACATTTTGTGCATAAACAGTATTTTAAGTAACATTTACATCAAAAGGTGTTGAATACCACAACATCTTTTTGGTCCTTCGAGAGTGAAGTGTGATTGTGATTTTTTCGGTGATAGCGAATCGGTTTGTCTGGCCTCCCAGAAGCGGCTCTCACCAGGCAGATTGAGAAGGCGCATAATATATCGCTGGAAGTTCATCGTCACACGGACCGCAAACAGGAAGCGATCAGTTCACTTAACACTTAGCGAATACCTATCAACAACAACATCATGGAAGATTTACAAGCAAATCAACAACAGATGGTTTCTGGTATGGAGCAGCTGCTCAGCAACTTCAAAAAGGACGGCGCCGACCGTAGGACTGCTGCTCATATCAAAAAACGACTGGAGACTTTGGATACTTACTGGCAGGAATTTCACAACCTTCACCTCCAGGTACGTGAGTTGTGTGATGAAAACCATTCCTACATTGTACAGAATCAATACGGACAAGTTCTTGATTTTTATACAAAAACAAAAGACTACATACAAAGTTTCTTACCAACTGAAGACAAATCAAGACCCTCTACTCCGATCATAAAACCATCAAATTTCAACCCCCCGCCATCAACGTCGTCAGCAACACCGCTACAGGTGGACCGCAGTATTAACAGCAAGTTGGATGAGATGTTGCGTAAGCAAAGTAGCAATTTTAGAGCTTTTAAGCGAACGTTAGCAAACATTGACTTGGATTTGTTAACCGATAACTGGGAATCAGAAGATGCTCTGAAGACCTTGAGTGTTAGATGGAACCGTATCGACTCCCTTCATTGGGAGCTCGACAGCGAGCTGGAGGGTACTAACGTAGCATACGAACAAGAATTTTCCGTCCATGAGAGAAGCTTTAGTGACATAAAGAAGGCAATCAACAAGAAAATATGGTCAACAGCTCATCAGGAACAATTTACACCAAAGCTTGATATTCCTATCTTCAACGGGAATTATCACCAATGGGTTCCGTTCAAAGATCTATTTACGGAATGCATTCATAACAATCGCTCCCTTTCCAGTGCTCAAAAAATGCAGTTTTTAAAGAGCAAGGTCAGGGGAGAGGCGGAGCGGCTGATACAACACCTACAGATCAGCTCGGATAATTATATTATCTGTTGGGACATTTTAAACAACCGATACAATAACCCGAAACTTATATTCACTTCTCACATGAACATATTAATGAGTTTGCCAGTTCCCCATCAAGCATCAGTGACCAACATCAAGAAAATTCACGACACTACGCAGGAATGCTTAAATGCAATAAAAAACCTAGGAATTGACATAAGCACCTGGGATCCGATTATTGTTTACCTGTTGACTCAAAAACTCGATAACGAAACTCATCATGATTATGTTCAATCTTTGAAATGTCCCCGGGAACTGCCAAAATTACAAGAATTTCTCAAGTTTTTGGAACAAACATTTACGTCGATGGAGTCTGGACGTAGAAAACAAGACAACACTCATCAAAAATCACACATTCCAAGTAATCAAAATCAGTATCCGAAAACTTCGAAATCGAATTATTTCAAACAATCATACGCCAGTAATCGAGTAACAACCCAGCATCCATCCAACATCTCGTCAAGGGGTTCTGCGTCACCTAACTTATAAGCTGTTAAAAACAAGAATTTCATAACATATACATGCCCACTCTGCAGTAAGGATCATGGACTATTCTTTTGTCAAGAATTTTTGGACATGTCTCCACAAACAAGACGTAAAACAGTAACAAAATTAAATGTTTGCCAAAACTGTCTTTTTAATCATCAAGGTAAAGCATGCCTTTCAGAGAAGCGGTGTCGTGAATGCAACGAAAATCATAACACTATGTTACATGACGCCTTCCGGTCATATTCAAACAAGCCGCAAAACAATGCGAATGTGAAAAACAAGTCGTCGATGTCGTCAGAAGTGGAAAATAATCGTGTCAGCATAAGTAACTCCAACGTTACTCAACAAAACAACGATATGACAGAAATTTTATTAGCGACAGCGATGCTCAAGGTGCGGGCCGCAGATGGTACTTATAAAATAATGCGCACACTTATTGATCAGGGTTCGCAAGTCTCAATAATATCTGAGAATGCGGCCCAGCGACTAGCACTTCCTAGACGAAACTGCAAAGGTAGTATTTATGGGGTTGGTGTTAAACCTAATAGCTGTAAAGGAGTACTTCACTTAACATGCTCATCAATGGACGACAACTACGTTTTTGACACGTCGGTATTTATCATACAAAATCTTATCAAACAATTACCAAATTCAACATTTGCTAAACCTTCGTGGTCATTCTTGAACAATATACAACTAGCTGACCCAGACTTCAACATCAGCAGACCGGTGGATCTTCTTCTGGGTGCTGACATATATTCGAACATTATATTACCTGGAATATGCAGAGAAGAAGATCAATCTGTGCCGATTGCCCAACAGACTCGGCTCGGCTGGATTTTGTGTGGAAATACAAAAACATACCAATGCAATGTAATTTTGAACAACATCGAACAAATCGAAAAATTTTGGGAAACAGAGGACATTACTGAGCATTTCGACTTATCAGAAGAAGACCTTCAATGTATTCAATACTATGAAGAAACAACAAAACGACTGAGTGATGGTAGATACGAGGTCAGACTCCCACTCAAACCAGGATATGAAAAACAATTGGGTTCGTCCAAAAATAAGGCAATCGCACATTTTTTAAGCATGGAAAGAAAGTTTAGAAAAAACAACAGTTTTGAGCAAAATTACAAAGCCTTCATTCATGAGTACCTAGCGCTTGGACATATGAAACCCGCTGAAAACATAACATTCCATGACATACATCATTACGTCGCGATTTACATCCTGGTGGGAGTGGCTGTGATAGCTGCTATATGCCTTGCCTGCAAACGACTACGACAAAGAAGAAACACGGCTATCACTTCAAGTATTAGCCTCGATAACATAACCACGGAAGGTCTAAGCTCCGCTCCTGTGGCTGCGCTGGCCGCCCCGAGAGCGCAGCGCGCCGCTGCAGTGCCCGCCTCGAGAACGCAACCCGTCGCCGCCAGCACCGAGCGTGCGTCCTCACCCGCGGTCCCGAACGCGTTCAATACTCAAGACCGAGCAACATCTCCTATATTGCGAACTCTCATTCTTAAACGCGATGAAGAATAATTTTATACCTAACTTTTCTCAAATAATTTTACTTTTTTATGTATTTTTAGTTTATCTCCCTTGTTGTGCGGGAAGATGTTCAGTTTACACCGAACACATTATGTACGCGTAGGCATTTTACTTTAAAGTTTTTATTTAAGTCAGTACATGTACGGACGCCAACATTGTCTCGTGTGTGCTCACATACATAACATTTATAAACATATAACATTTATAAACATTGTAACAATAATATTATAACAATATAATAAACATTTTGTGCATAAACAGTATTTTAAGTAACATTTACATCAAAAGGTGTTGAATACCACAACAACACGTATTGCTATAAGAGTTATAAAGATATTCTTTTCTAATTTTTATTTTTAAGTAGCATTTAAAGAGTTCTTTTTAATAACTTAAATAGCAGTTTCTTTTATATATTCTAAAATAGTTCAATTTTTTGAAATTTATTTTAATCAATTTTTTTAGTCTTTTAGAATAATTATCACAGTGTTATTATAGTATTCTTTCACAATAAATCTTAAACATCATATATGTTATAAAGAAATTCTTTTTAAATGCTTAAATTACTTCCGCTGTATAAAAAATAATAAAAGTTCATTTATAATTGTTTAAAATATCTTAACATTTACTCAAAAAGTTTTCAAAAATGCTTAATTGATAAGCACACTAAGAAAAATGTCATAATAAAAATTCTTGTTAGATTTCAGATATTATTTAATTATTATTAATGTTGAAGTTCGGAAACGCATTTTACGCACGCACATTGTATCAAAAAGTATTTTTTTTAATAAACTAACACAACATCTTTTATTCTTATTTTTATTTTAATTCTTTAGATACTACTTCTCAAATATGTCTAACAATTATGAGCCAGAAGAAACCGTTAAAAAAAGATGTTTTTTGGGTTGTGCTATTACAGCTCCAATTATTTATTTTACTGCCGATACCTTAGCATCTTTTATAGCGATTTTAGAGCAGAGAAAAAAGCATTCGTTAAAATATAGTGATATAGAACTGCTCAAGGACATCGATGATAGTATTGGGTATAATTCAAAATGTCGAAACAATTTTAATGCTTTGAAAGCCCATTTTAAAGTTGATTTAAACAAACCTTCGGGAAGCAAAGAGTAAGTTTTTGGTTAATTTGTTATAATTTGATAATGAAATAACCCAAGTGGAAACATTTATACAGCCTGTATACAACTGTCTTTATACAATTTTAGTCCTAATAAGTCTGTATAAAATTGAAGAATTTTTTTTTTAGTTGCCTTAACAACGGCGCTTGCTGACCGTTGTTGTCTAGGCAACTAAATAAAAAATTCTTTGTTTTCATAGAGACTTTATACAACGAAAATTATTTAAAGGCAGTTGTATACAGGCTGTATAAAAAATTTTTACTCGGGAAATATTGTAAAAAAAAAATGTTGTTCCGAGTCTATAAATTAACAGTATCTGCTTTCAATAGTATCTGCATTCATGAGTGGGCGAAAATTTTTTGAAAAATAAAATTACGAATGAAAAAAATTACAAATTGAAATATGCTGAATTGTAATATTTAGAAATCAAAATTATTAAAAACGTATAAATTTTGAAAAAATATATTTTGAAGTTATACGAAATTGTAAAGTTAACAAAACTTATGATTTTAAAATATATATTATTTAGAAACAAAATTTCGAAATGTGAATATTATTAAATTATAAAAATTGCATACATAAAAATGTATCGTTTTCACGAATAAGTTGCAATATTAATTTTTCAAAGAAAACATTTTCGTTATAATTGTTATTCAAGGAAATACGTTTTTGTGTCTTTCATCATCATCATCATTACAGCCCTTCACAAGTCCACTGCTGAACATAGGCCTCCCCCAAAGAATGCCACAAAGCACGGTTCTGAGCCACCTGCATCCATCGACTTCCTGCATATCTTACCAGGTCGTCACTCCATCTAGTGGGGGGACACCCTACACTTCGCCTGCCGGTACGAGGCTGCTACTCGAGAACCTTTCTTCCCCATCGGTTGTCGGTTCTTCGAGCTATATGGCCGGCCCATTGCCACTTCAGCTTACTAATCCGTTGGGCTATGTCGGTCACTCTAGTTCTACTGCGGATATCCTCATTTCTGAGTTTATCACGCAGAGAAACTCCGAGCATAGCCCTCTCCATAGCTCGCTGAGCGACCTTGAGCTTCCTCATCCGGCCAGCAGGGCCACGTTTCAGTTCCGTATGACATCACTGGCAACACGCACTGGGTGTACAGTCTCGTTTTCAAGTTTTGAGGTATACCTGGCGAGAAGATGTGCCGTAATTTCCCGAACGCTGCCCAACCGAGTTGAATCCGTCGATTGACCTCTCGGTCGAAGTTGGACTTACCTAGTCGGACTATTTGTCCCAGGTAAACATACTCGTCAACAACTTCGAGCTTAGTGTTCCCAACAACTACCGGCATAGGTGTGACATGGACATTAAACATGATCTTTGTTTTGTCCATGTTCATCTTAAGACCTATCCGTTGGGAAACACTATTGAGGTCATTGAGCATAGTGCTTAGGTCCTCCAGCGATTCTGCCATAAGGACTAAGTATATCGTCGGCAAATCGAAGGTGAGTGACGTACTCGCAATTGATGTTGATACCGTATCCTTTCCAGTCCAGAAGCTTGAAAACATCTTCCAATGCAGCGGTAAAGAATTTCGGGGATATGACGTCACCCTGTCTTACACCTCTCTGCAATTGGATAGGTTTCGTACTCTGGTTCTGTACTCGGATAGCCATCGTAGCCCTACTGTACAAGCACTTCAACACTTCGATATACCGACAGTCAACTTGGCATCGCTGAAGGGACTGCAGCACCGCCCAAGTTTCGACGGAATCAAAGGCTTTCTCATAGTCCACATACGCCGTGACTACAGACAGACATAGTGGCAAATTGTACTCCTCGGACTTCTGTACAATTTGCCGAAGGGTATGTATGTGGTCTATGGTGCTAAAGCCTTTTTGGAAACCGGCTTGTTCGGGAGGCTGGAAGTCGTCAAGTCTGCGCGCGAGACGATTCGTAATGACTCTCGAAAACAGCACGTAGACGCGGCTCAGAAGGGAGATCGGTCTGTAGTTCTTCAAGAGAGCGTTGTCGCCTTTCTTGAAGAACAAGACCACCGCACTTCTGCTCCACGCCTCCGGTGTAATGCCACCATGGAGGACGAAATTAAAGAGCTTCTGAAGGACTTCAAGTACCGGTTTTCCACCCGCTTTCAGAAGCTCCGCTGTAATTCCATCCTCGCCTGGGGCCTTGCCGTTTTTAAGGTGCTGGAGAGCCATTCTAATCTCGCTCAGACTGACGTCCGGGATATCATCGGAATAATGTCGGATAAGACTCGCTCTTGGATCGTTACTCACACTTGCGTGCGGCTCCAACGATGACGTGTACAGCTGCCCATAGAACCTCTCAATCTCACTCAAAATCTCAGGTGCCCCGGAAAAGATGCCGCCACATTCTGTCTTCAGCTTTGACAGTTCTGGCAGACAGATCTCTGGCAAAGACTTTGGAGCCTTGGTTCCGCTCGATCGCTTCTTCAATACGAGCTGTATTGAAGTTGCGTAAGTCCCGCCGCATGCATTTGGAGATCTGTCTGTTCAGTTGCCTGTATGCTGTCAAATTTGTTGAAGAATGTAGCTTCATCTCCCGTCTAACAGCCATGAGATTAAGAGTGTGATCGGAGAGTTTTTGTATTCTTCTGCGGCGGGTCTTGCAGAACTTAGCTCTGACCGCATGGACAGTTTCCACGAGCTTGTCATTCAAATCGTCCACTTCATTGCAGTCTTCTAGGCACTGAAAACGGTTTTGTAACTCGAGCTGAAAGGTTTCGGGAGTTTGAAACAGAGCACGACGGGGACGGAGCGTTGACTTCATTAGACGAGACCTCTCCAACTTAACGTTTAGTTTCAGTGTGCCTCTAACCATTCGGTGATCGCTGCCGGTTTTCACCCTCGCGATCACTGAGACATCACTGAACAGTTGTCGTCTGGTCGTCATAATGAAGTCAATCTCATTTTTTGTCGAACCGTCGGGGCTTGATCAGGTCCACTTCCTGTGGGGCCGCTTCTGGAAGAAAGAGTTCATCATAAAGAGTCCCTCTTTCTCCATGAAGTCGGCCAGCTGCTGGCCCCTTGGATTCCTTTGCCCTATTCCATATTTCCCCACTTTCAGCTCACCGTTCTCTCTTGTGCCTAGTTTTGCATTGAAGTCTCCCATCAACACCGTATATTGGGTTTTAGAGGAATGCATGGCTCTAGAGATGTCCTCATACATTTTATCCACCTCCTCACCGGGGTGTGCCGAGGTTGGTGCGTAAACCTGTATGACCTTCAGCGAATACCGTTTGGTGATTCTGAGTATAAGGTACGCAACCCTCGTCGACACACTCTCAATCTTAACAAAGTTGTTAACGAGAGACTTGTGGACGATAAATCCGACACGTCCTTGGGACAGATGGTCGCCCTCCCGGTAATAGAGCAAGTTGCCGGATTCGAGGATTACCGTGTCCTCCCCCTCTCTGCGGACTTCGGATAATCCTATAATATGCCAGCGTAACTTGTCTATCTCTTCTTCCAGCTCCACAATCTTCTCGTCAGTCCTCAGGGTGCGTGCGTTGTATGTTGCCAGGTCGAGTCGTCGTAGGTGGCAACCGAACCTCCACCGGAGATTCTTAGCACCCCCTGCCCCACCGTTACCATGGTCGCCACCGTAGCTAGGAATAGCGGGGCCGCCGGGGACTGGGGGCCGTCTCTTCGTTACTTTCATCATGGGGGGTATATTGCCATAGTTGCCACGCTTGGCGAGCGGGTTGGCAACCGCAGTTTTTTATTGTACTTTTGCCGTCACCAGGATAATGCTGCTGCACATCTCTTGCCTGTTTCCCTTTGTCGCCTTTTACGACACCCACGGGAAGATATGGGGTAGTGGATATTCTTAACCGCCACTACACGGCACGTG